GGGGGTCTCTAGCTAGCACTCTTCACCCTGTGCCCAGCTCACCAGCGACGTGGAGATGTATGCTTTCCAGTACGAGACCAAGACGAAATCCAGCGACAGTACCGTTGTCCTTTACCTGGATAAGGTGAGGCTTGTGAGCATCCTGGTGGGCAGAGAACCCCGGTCAGCCAGGTTCTCCTGGGCGGTGTTGCCAGACGGCCATGCCATCTGGCGGCAGCGCCTCCCAGCGAAGGCCGCGCGTGTGGTCAGCGGTTAGGAGCGGCCCCGGGGGCAGTGCCCGACGGTCAGTGCCCGGGCCAGCTCAGTGCGGACGCCCTTCCCCAGCTCTCCCACGAGGAAAACACGGTGCTGGGCTTCCGCGTCCACAGGATGCTGCAGGCGGAGTTCCTGCAGGCCGCCCAGGTCACGGTCTATGACTACTNCCCCCCACCCCATCCCCGAAGCCTGGCCCAAGCCAAACCCAGGCACGCGCCCCTCTCGCAGCCCGGAGGTGCAGCGCCTTCTACAACCTTCCCAGTGAGCGATCAGACCTGCGGAAGATCTGCCACAGAGACGTCTGCAGATGTGCTGAGGGTGAGGTCATGGGGACACTCGGTCCGGGGCTGCCAGGCTGGGGTCCCTCCTGAGCGCCCTTTGTCACTCCTGAGTGCCGGCTGGGCTGAGTTTAGGCAGAGAGAGAGAGGCAGCAAGGTAGAAAGAGAGAGACCAAGAGAGAAAAGTAGACCCAGAGACAGACTGACACACATACACGCGAGCACCGCGAAGCTGGAGAAAGGCCAGACCCACAGACCTGGGGCCGGATGGGGGTCTGACGGAAGGAAGCCCCCTCCCCCAGTGCAGCCAGAGCAGCTGGTCCCCTCACCCTCCAGAACTGTGCCCGACCCAGATGAAGGACAGCAGGTGGCTGAAGCAGGAGGAGCTCCAGGAGGCGGCCTGTGAGGCAGGCGTGGACTTCGGTGAGTTTCTGGTATGGCAGGAAGCAGGAGGCCCACCTGCTGGCCAGGCACCAACACAAGCCCTCCCGCCCTGCCTTCCCCAGTGTACAAGGCCAGGCTGGAGACTGTGGAGGCCTCTGCCTCCAACCCCTACATCTACTACAACATGCAGCTCCAAGGCATCATCAAGAGCGGTACGTCCCAGGTGGTCCAAGAGAGGGGGT